GCGCGGCGGCGGCCGCGCGCGGGGGCCTGCGCTCCATCCCTGGTCGTCTCCGGGCCTTCCTGGCGCCCGCGGCGGGGCCCTTGGGCGGCCCAGGACGGGGAAGCGCACGAGCGGCGAGCACGTCCCGCATCGGCGCCCTCGCGGTCTGGACTCCGGGGCGCGATCCCGCGGAGACGCGGCTGCACGGATGCGCTCCGCGCGGGGCATCCGCGCAAGGCCTCCAGCTCGCTGCGGGCTTCGGGCCGGATATGGGCATGCTTTTCGCCCAGGAGGAAGGCCGTGGGACTCATTCGCCTCCGCGCCCCCCCTCCCTGCCTAGCGATCCGAGGAGGGGGCGCGCCCCCCCCGACCCCCCAGCTTGGTGGCGGCCCCGGGGTCTTAACTGGCGGGGCCCCGGAAGCTCAGTCGCGAGTGGGGGTGAGGCCAAATCCGCAGTCGGTCCCTGGCCCTCTCTCGGTGTCCACCTCTGGTACAGGTTTTCACCTGGGACCCGTTTGTGCCCGTCCCGGGGCCGCAAACGGCCCCTGGAGGCCGAAAAACCACATACATGTTGTCCTTTCTCTCTCTCTCTCTCTCTCTCTCTCTCTCTCTCTCTCTCTCTATATATATATATATATACATACATACATACATACATACATGCATGCATGCATGCATGTATGCATGCATGCATGCATGCATGCATGCATACATTCATACATTCATACATTCATACATTCATACATTCATACATACATACATACATACATACATACATACATACATACATACATACATACATACATACACGTATGAACATATAAGCATACATACGTCCACTGATTTAGTTTGAGGGAGTTTCTGTGGAACTCACGTCATCCTCACCCCCGGCGCGAAGAGCACGAGTCCAGAGCGGCCTCCGGCACCGTTTCCGGACAGATCCGCTGGATCCGCTGGATCCGCTGGATCCGCTGGATCCGGTGACGAATCCCAAACCGGCGCCCTCGCTTGAGACATCCTCCAAAACCGGCCCCGGGGGAGGTGCCCAGAGGAGCCCAGAGCGGCCTCCGGCACCGTTTCCGGACAGATCCGGTGGATCCGCTGGATCCGCTGGATCCGGTGACGAATCCCAAACCGGCGCCCTCGCTTGAGACATCCTCACAAACCCGGCCCCGGGGGAGGTGCCCAGAGGAGCCCAGAGCGGCCTCCGGCACCGTTTCCGGACAGAATCGCTGGACCGCTGGATCCGCCTGGACCCCTCCGCTGGATCCGCTGATCCGGGTGACGAAATCCCAAAACCGCGCCCTCCGCGTTGAGACTCCTCAACAAAACCGGCCCCGGGGGGATGCCAGAGGAGCTCAGAGCGGCCCTCCGCACCGTTTCCGGATCAATCCGCTGGATCCGCTGGTCCCCGGTGACGAATCCCAAA